TAATCAGTTTTTGATTTTCTAAGAACTTTCAGTTTGACCCTCTTATGACGAACTAGGGGAGGTTTTGTCTATACCCAAATGTCACTTTTCTCGAGTGCGCCCTTACGAAATTTCACTCTTGATCTGAGAAAAGTGACTTTTGGTGTCATGCTACACGTGCTGATCTTCATTTCGACATATCAGTTAGGGCTTCAAAAAAAATTAGCAAAAACATGTTGTTAGAGATAGATAAGAAGATACATGGATAGATTTTCCGTGCCATATAGTTTGTTTCACTTCTTATCTGTAAATTTCAAAATGTGATCAATTAAAGAGCATTTATAAATAAAGCGAAAGTTAGCCAACAAGCATGGCGCGTACGGTAGACGGCGACTGTATCGATTGATTTGTGTACATAGAGGAAAAGCCGCCGTTTGTTACTCATCAACATGAGTTACCCTTACCATGGTAACTCGTTTAGCTCTATATGCAAAATTGTTTGTTGACATGGTTGTTATAACTCTTTTACAGAATCCAATGTTTATTTCCTACTCAATAAACAAAATACTTGCTTACTTTGGTAAGGTACCTACTAAAAATGTTTATAGTCGTATTAATCATCCGACAGTCTTAATTACCAATTTAAAACTTAAACTGCAATCAACGTTCATTTCAATCTAAATTACTATTAGTTTAAATTCAAACATAGTAATTTAGGAGCTCTGTTAATTGAAATAAAAGCTTATAGTCTTTCTAAGTCTTAAAATAACCCTATATTATTTGTTACAGGTAATCTAAAGCGGCGTCTGGGGCGGGCGCGAGGCTTCGTTTTGCGTATGTTCGACGCACTATGCAACTGCACGCAGACCGCCGCGGCCGCCGCGCGCACCACAGCACGCAACAATCCGTTTACAAAACGCTAACTCGATTGTGACTTTTAGACCGGTTTTAGGGGATTATAATTGAAGAGAGAAAATTAGAGTGATATGAGAGATACAACAAGGATATTTGATATTTAATGCGATCACAATTTATATTGACCATTAATAACAGCATTAAAACATGTAATGTACTGATTAAAATCGAATATTTAAAATAGGAAAGAATATCTACAAAGTATTTGTAAGTTCATAAAATTGACATGGTTTAGAAAGATGTTATCATATCGACAAAGTCGTTAAGTAACATAATTTCAGTAAAAGTGGATATAAGTACAGTGTACAAAATTACCTCTGACACTAATTCCAATTAGCATCTCTGTGGTAAATAATATAAATGGTTATACCTACGTTAAAGTTCGTCATCGACAACTTAACGGAAGTATGACAATTGAAAAATATCGTTTCAGATTCGATACAAAACATTAAGATTTACGACGAGTTCATTATGTCGAAAATAGGGTTTGTTTAAACGTATATTTTTACATATCTTAAGAAGTATTAAATGCAGGGAAGGAAAGGAACAAACGTGGGGAAATGGCGGTTTTCAAACCAAAGATCTAAATAAAAATTAATATATAAATAAAATAAAAGATGTAACAGTTATTAATATAAATGTTAAGTAGTCACAGTTATGTCACAATATTTTGTTTGTTATAATTATTAATGTTGGTTATTTTTCTTTTTTTTTTAAACGCTTTTCCCTTATGAAATTCACTGCCGAACTAATAAATTTATACACTCATGACGTTTATGTCTTGGACGAAGTTGATTTAATAATATCCTAAAGCCTAATGGGAAACATCTTGATTTATCAAAGAGGAGGTCGATTAAAATCACACACATTTATAATACCTACTGATATCACCAAAATCCTTAGGTATGGCTTTTCAAAATGTCGAATCAATTATAGCGTATGGCATTTAAAACATTATATTGGTTCATTGGGCGGAGTGTTACTAATTTTTTTTTATTTATCTACTTCCTTCAACTATTGAAATATTAAATGGCCACTGTTCGTTAATAAATTAGTGTCTTCCCTATGTAAGTATCCTTAAAATACATGGTGTTTATGTGATCGATGTGACGACGCTTAATAGTATAAGGTGACGTATTTAGCAATACTTATAGTAGATTCTATTCTAAAATCTGGATGTTAATTTTACCGTGTATTGTGCTATTCGTAACTCATTTAGGCTACGAGCGCCTGTGAATCCTTGTGGTGGCACGCCCACTTGAACACGTGACAATTAGGTGACTTCCATACCAATGATAGGAGCCGGTGACAGAAAAAAATAAATGAACAACTACTTTCTAAACACAATCATGCTAATTCTATTGAAGACCAAAATCGTTAAATTATAAATTTTTTGACCACCATTTGACAATTTAAGTGTAAAGTAGCCAAAGGAGCTTCAAAGATTCGAAAAATGCCGATTCATTAAATAACTGACGATATTTATATGTTATGTTACGATATCTTTTTTTTAAAGATTTTATAATTTATTCATATAATGTATTTCTAAGCCACTTTTTATTATTTTTACACTATTAACTATTATAGTAGTATAATAGTTGTAAGATCTGTCGTCGCTTGTACCTACTTGTCTAAAATCTTTTATAAGTACCTTTTATAAATACTGTCAATAATAGCACATTACACGAATTATAAGCATGATTATTAAAATATGACTGTTTATAATAGAGAAATACGGTTAAAGATCGGATTAAAATAATTGATAACTTTAATAGTCCTTTATGATAGTTTCATAGGGGCATTTGAGGAATATATAAAGGAATTAATACAGTTTTTTGATGTTTTTGCAAGCACAAAGAAACACGCTCAAAATAAATACATAGATAATATTCATTGAATTTTTTCTAACACTGATTTATTTTTGACTGCTCTACCATTTATATATATTTTTGCTAAATGTTAAAAACTAATTTCCTTCTAAGTAGAAACGTAGTATTTTCTAAGTATCATAGTTTATATTAACCTACTTGTATATCTAAGAACTTTAAAAAAATTAGACATTAATATAAAAAATTGAGCTTGGATTCGAGTAGATAATGGATGTGTTGATTAAGGAAAGTGTATTAAAGTAATAATTGAGAAAGTATATTTTCAGTGTCAAAATGTAGAAGATTAAAAAAAAAGTGAATATGTTGGAAATTATTTGATAAATGTTCAATGTGATATCCTGCCTATACCTTACCTTTTACTTCCGGTGTGATTGTATGTCCTTTTTCTCTTGGGAATAAAGTGGTTTTGTAATAATCTGTATGTGGTTTTATTTTATTGCTGCATATATCTGTATATATTTTATATTCATTTTACTTGATGTTGGCAGACTACGTCATTCAGTCAAGTGTCATTTAACACAATGATTGTCTGGAAGACACAGCGACGATCGCCTTTGGCACTTTAGAATTTCATTACTACTCAAACTTCATTTATGTGTGGGCGATAAAAAGTTTATCTATCTTTCTACCCTAGAACCAAGAAACTTTATATATCTTTCGATAAGAAGGATTTACTAGCTACTTATAACTAAACCTTGGGTTGACTATTTTAATCGTAAAAAAATACTTAAAAATCCATTAACCCCAGGTGCCTCGAGATAGGATTCGGAACCACAACCAGTGGCGGATTAACCTCTTCGGAGGCCCGGGGCGGCAATAATGAATATAAAATAAACATTATGTATCTTTCCAAAAAATCATGTAAAAATCTTTCCAAATAATTAACAAACTAAAAGTTATTAAATTATTGTAAAATATTCTGGGGATTGTTCATATAAATATTTCCATAAAATTAATAAATAATTTATCTTTTGTGCTATCTATACTTTCTATATACAAATGACGTCACGCGGATGTTATTTAGAAAGGTTACAGCACATTAGCAATTTTCGGAACTTATATAATATTTTATGTATACTGAATACATAAAATATTAATAAATTCTAACTAAAAATAGGATTATCAATAATCGGTGTAAAAAAATGAATCAACAAAACACAATCAATAGCAATAAAGTTACAGAAACTATTACAAAAGTATTTCTTATTCAGATTTCGTTCATGATTTATGCAGCATACTTACCTTTGTCAACGAGTCGACTAATCTGTAAGTCAATTTATTTTTATGGCTTTAGTTATGTATATAAAACGGAATTGGAGTGAGGAATTTAGTGAGGCGCAGTAGGTAACGCGTTTGGTATGCGATTAAAAAAGTTAAGCTGTTTTCGCAGAGGTTTGCTGACGGATGGGACGGCCGAAAATTTATTTTCTCGAACTCCGTGGTCCCGTAGCAAGGGAATTCAAGCATTGAAACATAAAATCATTCTCCCTTACCTGTAGGTACAGGGGAGGTTTTGTCTATACCCAAATGTCACTTTTCTCGAGTGCGCCCTTACGAAATTTCACTCTTGATCTGAGAAAAGTGACTTTTGGTGTCATGCTACACGTGCTGATCTTCATTTCGACATATCAGTTAGGGCTTCAAAAAAAATTAGCAAAAACATGTTGTTAGAGATAGATAAGAAGATACATGGATAGATTTTCCGTGCCATATAGTTTGTTTCACTTCTTATCTGTAAATTTCAAAATGTGATCAATTAAAGAGCATTTATAAATAAAGCGAAAGTTAGCCAACAAGCATGGCGCGTACGGTAGACGGCGACTGTATCGATTGATTTGTGTACATAGAGGAAAAGCCGCCGTTTGTTACTCATCAACATGAGTTACCCTTACCATGGTAACTCGTTTAGCTCTATATGCAAAATTGTTTGTTGACATGGTTGTTATAACTCTTTTACAGAATCCAATGTTTATTTCCTACTCAATAAACAAAATACTTGCTTACTTTGGTAAGGTACCTACTAAAAATGTTTATAGTCGTATTAATCATCCGACAGTCTTAATTACCAATTTAAAACTTAAACTGCAATCAACGTTCATTTCAATCTAAATTACTATTAGTTTAAATTCAAACATAGTAATTTAGGAGCTCTGTTAATTGAAATAAAAGCTTATAGTCTTTCTAAGTCTTAAAATAACCCTATATTATTTGTTACAGGTAATCTAAAGCGGCGTCTGGGGCGGGCGCGAGGCTTCGTTTTGCGTATGTTCGACGCACTATGCAACTGCACGCAGACCGCCGCGGCCGCCGCGCGCACCACAGCACGCAACAATCCGTTTACAAAACGCTAACTCGATTGTGACTTTTAGACCGGTTTTAGGGGATTATAATTGAAGAGAGAAAATTAGAGTGATATGAGAGATACAACAAGGATATTTGATATTTAATGCGATCACAATTTATATTGACCATTAATAACAGCATTAAAACATGTAATGTACTGATTAAAATCGAATATTTAAAATAGGAAAGAATATCTACAAAGTATTTGTAAGTTCATAAAATTGACATGGTTTAGAAAGATGTTATCATATCGACAAAGTCGTTAAGTAACATAATTTCAGTAAAAGTGGATATAAGTACAGTGTACAAAATTACCTCTGACACTAATTCCAATTAGCATCTCTGTGGTAAATAATATAAATGGTTATACCTACGTTAAAGTTCGTCATCGACAACTTAACGGAAGTATGACAATTGAAAAATATCGTTTCAGATTCGATACAAAACATTAAGATTTACGACGAGTTCATTATGTCGAAAATAGGGTTTGTTTAAACGTATATTTTTACATATCTTAAGAAGTATTAAATGCAGGGAAGGAAAGGAACAAACGTGGGGAAATGGCGGTTTTCAAACCAAAGATCTAAATAAAAATTAATATATAAATAAAATAAAAGATGTAACAGTTATTAATATAAATGTTAAGTAGTCACAGTTATGTCACAATATTTTGTTTGTTATAATTATTAATGTTGGTTATTTTTCTTTTTTTTTTAAACGCTTTTCCCTTATGAAATTCACTGCCGAACTAATAAATTTATACACTCATGACGTTTATGTCTTGGACGAAGTTGATTTAATAATATCCTAAAGCCTAATGGGAAACATCTTGATTTATCAAAGAGGAGGTCGATTAAAATCACACACATTTATAATACCTACTGATATCACCAAAATCCTTAGGTATGGCTTTTCAAAATGTCGAATCAATTATAGCGTATGGCATTTAAAACATTATATTGGTTCATTGGGCGGAGTGTTACTAATTTTTTTTTATTTATCTACTTCCTTCAACTATTGAAATATTAAATGGCCACTGTTCGTTAATAAATTAGTGTCTTCCCTATGTAAGTATCCTTAAAATACATGGTGTTTATGTGATCGATGTGACGACGCTTAATAGTATAAGGTGACGTATTTAGCAATACTTATAGTAGATTCTATTCTAAAATCTGGATGTTAATTTTACCGTGTATTGTGCTATTCGTAACTCATTTAGGCTACGAGCGCCTGTGAATCCTTGTGGTGGCACGCCCACTTGAACACGTGACAATTAGGTGACTTCCATACCAATGATAGGAGCCGGTGACAGAAAAAAATAAATGAACAACTACTTTCTAAACACAATCATGCTAATTCTATTGAAGACCAAAATCGTTAAATTATAAATTTTTTGACCACCATTTGACAATTTAAGTGTAAAGTAGCCAAAGGAGCTTCAAAGATTCGAAAAATGCCGATTCATTAAATAACTGACGATATTTATATGTTATGTTACGATATCTTTTTTTTAAAGATTTTATAATTTATTCATATAATGTATTTCTAAGCCACTTTTTATTATTTTTACACTATTAACTATTATAGTAGTATAATAGTTGTAAGATCTGTCGTCGCTTGTACCTACTTGTCTAAAATCTTTTATAAGTACCTTTTATAAATACTGTCAATAATAGCACATTACACGAATTATAAGCATGATTATTAAAATATGACTGTTTATAATAGAGAAATACGGTTAAAGATCGGATTAAAATAATTGATAACTTTAATAGTCCTTTATGATAGTTTCATAGGGGCATTTGAGGAATATATAAAGGAATTAATACAGTTTTTTGATGTTTTTGCAAGCACAAAGAAACACGCTCAAAATAAATACATAGATAATATTCATTGAATTTTTTCTAACACTGATTTATTTTTGACTGCTCTACCATTTATATATATTTTTGCTAAATGTTAAAAACTAATTTCCTTCTAAGTAGAAACGTAGTATTTTCTAAGTATCATAGTTTATATTAACCTACTTGTATATCTAAGAACTTTAAAAAAATTAGACATTAATATAAAAAATTGAGCTTGGATTCGAGTAGATAATGGATGTGTTGATTAAGGAAAGTGTATTAAAGTAATAATTGAGAAAGTATATTTTCAGTGTCAAAATGTAGAAGATTAAAAAAAAAGTGAATATGTTGGAAATTATTTGATAAATGTTCAATGTGATATCCTGCCTATACCTTACCTTTTACTTCCGGTGTGATTGTATGTCCTTTTTCTCTTGGGAATAAAGTGGTTTTGTAATAATCTGTATGTGGTTTTATTTTATTGCTGCATATATCTGTATATATTTTATATTCATTTTACTTGATGTTGGCAGACTACGTCATTCAGTCAAGTGTCATTTAACACAATGATTGTCTGGAAGACACAGCGACGATCGCCTTTGGCACTTTAGAATTTCATTACTACTCAAACTTCATTTATGTGTGGGCGATAAAAAGTTTATCTATCTTTCTACCCTAGAACCAAGAAACTTTATATATCTTTCGATAAGAAGGATTTACTAGCTACTTATAACTAAACCTTGGGTTGACTATTTTAATCGTAAAAAAATACTTAAAAATCCATTAACCCCAGGTGCCTCGAGATAGGATTCGGAACCACAACCAGTGGCGGATTAACCTCTTCGGAGGCCCGGGGCGGCAATAATGAATATAAAATAAACATTATGTATCTTTCCAAAAAATCATGTAAAAATCTTTCCAAATAATTAACAAACTAAAAGTTATTAAATTATTGTAAAATATTCTGGGGATTGTTCATATAAATATTTCCATAAAATTAATAAATAATTTATCTTTTGTGCTATCTATACTTTCTATATACAAATGACGTCACGCGGATGTTATTTAGAAAGGTTACAGCACATTAGCAATTTTCGGAACTTATATAATATTTTATGTATACTGAATACATAAAATATTAATAAATTCTAACTAAAAATAGGATTATCAATAATCGGTGTAAAAAAATGAATCAACAAAACACAATCAATAGCAATAAAGTTACAGAAACTATTACAAAAGTATTTCTTATTCAGATTTCGTTCATGATTTATGCAGCATACTTACCTTTGTCAACGAGTCGACTAATCTGTAAGTCAATTTATTTTTATGGCTTTAGTTATGTATATAAAACGGAATTGGAGTGAGGAATTTAGTGAGGCGCAGTAGGTAACGCGTTTGGTATGCGATTAAAAAAGTTAAGCTGTTTTCGCAGAGGTTTGCTGACGGATGGGACGGCCGAAAATTTATTTTCTCGAACTCCGTGGTCCCGTAGCAAGGGAATTCAAGCATTGAAACATAAAATCATTCTCCCTTACCTGTAGGTACTCCCCAGTATCGAATTGAGACCGGCGAATCCGGCACTGGCAATAGATTGAACTAAACAGGCTTATTGATGGGACGATATTGTGCAGTGGTCTGTTAAAAGCAGTCACATGGATACCACACTTGGCAGTTTTACTATGCAGCTGCTAATAAGCATTAATAACATTTTTCAGTGGTAGTTAGGTTTATATGTAGACGCCACAGACGCATATGGGATAAATTGGGAACAAATCCAGCAGGCACGTCATACTTTAGTACCTATAATATCTATCGGTCGACCTATTAATGTTCAGGTTACTAGGTAGGTAGTAGAAACTATTTTATACTGCACTAAGATAAGATCTAAGCTTCTAACAATAGAGATGACAGGGAAATAAATATTTAGTTCAGATAATAGAAAAATATAAGATACGTTTTTTTTTTTCAATTTAACAAGAAATGGCATAGATAATAGGCATTCAAGTTGAGGAATGGGCGCTTGCTATGTCACGACTACGTAGAAAATGTATAAAGGCGTAACGTCATGCGATTTTTTAGCTCAATGTATCGCCAAAATTTATTGATTACACAACAAAATAAAAATAATGTGTTTAATATTCTTCAATAATCTACCTGATGGACAGACAAATAAAAATTAGTCATTATTCCTGTTAAAAGCAGTCCCTTAATTTTCATACCAACCAGCGCGCACAGTATGACAAACTCAGGAAACCATAGATAATATATAGGAAACTCGAAACACTTTGGCTACATAAAATGTCAGTTTTCTCGGGTCGAGAGTGATATCTATGAGTGAAATATTGTATGGGCGCACCCGAGCGACATTTGAATACAGACAACCATACACAACGTTCTGGGATTCGTCATGCTATGCGTGCAGTATAGAAAACACAAAACCAATATCATTATATATATAGCATACCCGATTGCCCTCAGTGCCCGTAGCTATACACGAAAAATATTTCTAATTATGATGTTAGAAATATCCCAAACAAATAATTTTACAGCTTACTTCCTATTAATTCTTAAGTAAGGTTTGTATTCGAGTAATGCTTGATGAAGCATACAACAAACGTAGTGCTTTTCTACAATCAATTTCTAAGTATTTCAATGAAATTTGTCCGAGCAGGCAAAATACATTTACTGGGTTATCGGGTTACCTTTTGCTACTGTGCATTTCCAATAGATGGCGCTATAAAAATAAAAAATTAAAACCATTAAATGTACTATACATAAAACCAAATATAATAAAACAAATACACAAATTTTGTACATTTATTTCACTAACATTAAACTTATTTTCTATGTTTCTTGTAGTTCGGCGATCGATCTCTATCCCTCTTCTTCTTTTTTCCCTTTCGTTTCTTATCTATGTCTCTCTTTTTTTCTGATGTTTTTTTTCTCTTCTCCCTTTTAGGTGAATCGGAATCAGAATCCGTACTGCTGTAGCGTTTTTTACTTGATTTATGTCTTTTTCTGTCAGCATCAGAAAGGGAACTCATGGAATCACTACTGCTGTATCTTTTCTTTTTCTCTTTCCGCGGTTTTCTTGATCTTTCTTCACTGCCAGAAGAATCTCTTCTATATTTATCTCTGCCTCTTCCATCTTTCACTTCATCAACATTTTTCCTTGAGATTCTGTCATCGTTTTTGTCCCCATTCTTAGTATCTTTTCTGCTAGATGTTGCTTCTCTATCAGCCTTTGGGGGGTCACGTTTTGACATTTTCTCTGATTTCATTTCGGCTCTCTTGTATTCATCAAAGGAATCTGCATCTAAAAAGATATGATATTCGTAACACGATGGCTTTATTGATGAATCAGAATCAGGGGCTTGAACACAAAACTACGAATCAGCGAGATACGAATATAAAACAGGAAGTTGCACTGCGATTCAATCTGCAAATTCTTGCGATGCGGCGTGAGCTTGCAGAATTTCACTTTGCAAAGTAACATTGTAGTTTCGTGTACAAGCCCAGAGGTACCTTGTATTACAGACTCCTCAACGAGTGCCCAAGATAAAAACACAGGATGTCATTGGTTAAATCTTCAAAAGTATCTGTGAAGAAAAATTAAAAAGACAATTTCTTGTTTTCTGCTGAGCAATTTGCAATACTTGGATAATATTAAGTAATATCACTAATTTAAGAGAACAATATTGTAATTACAATTTCTTAGAGAAAGTCACAAGTTTGGGAATTTGGTAGTCATGATATCCGAAAGTAACTTGAAAAGTAATAATATTACCTTTTAACTGATATTAAAAAAAAACATCAAAATAATGCTGAGATTTCGAGGGTCCAGTAGTGCCTCAATTGCCCCTGAAATATTTCTTCCAGGAGTAGTATATATCCATTTATTTCTACTAGTAAGAATAGACGCAGAGCTCTGACCAAAATGTGCAAGAACTTTCTAGTACCCAGTGCGAGGGTTAGGTGCTGGAACACCTGGTGGCAACCGGGAAATGTTAGGTCGAAAAATTATAACACATGTTGAAGGCACTTTTCAAAAGTAGTGAAAAACTAATTAAGAATAAGTTTTTAATTAAAAAGTAGACTAAATTGCGCATTAATACTTCAATATACTGATATATCAAGCTTTAAAAAGGCTTGCACATTTTTGTCACGACCTTAGATTAAAATCAATATGCTTTTTATCTATAATAATAACTGTATTATATTTTTTATTTCTTTCGGGAAGTATTTCAAGAGCAATAAATGGATATAGTCTAAACATTTTGTGGATCCGTAGAGTGGACCAAAGGTCGAATGTCCTATTATGTATATTGTTGGTTCTCACATTCCGCGACAAACGATATGCGACGAAATATCGACCTAAACCGTCTTATTACAAAACGAGAATTAAGGTTCGCACTTGAATTAAAGCATTGGCCACCTAAAGCAAATTGACAAACACATTTTTACTTTTAATAATGCCCAATTTAAGCAGTGAGATTTGGGCGACTCCTAAGTTTAGTGGAAACGTACATGTATTTGTTTTATAATAATATGGTTCGAGTTTCAATTTGTGCGACTTCACAGACCAATGGGATCACAATTCCGATCGTACAACAACCAGTTAGATTAGGTGAATAAACTTATAACTATTTAATATAAATTAATCCGCTAATTTATAAATTTGATAGATATACATACTTATGACTTTAGACTCCTTGTCGTATTCAGTCTTTGTCACCGCCTGCATCATGAATTCACTCAAACTGACAGTTTCTTTTTTTACAGCAATGTCAACCATTACACGACCATTGTCTTCATCTAAGCTTAGCACCTGAAATAAAAGAGTATAATTAAATTGTCTCATGTGTTTTGCTAATCTAAAGAAAATTCCTTTAAGTGCAAAATTAATCAATGTGTGATGATTTTTTTTTAATTGGTGTTAATGGCTCTAGATTTAAGTCCTTTTACGACATACTTAGTTTTTAACAGTATATGAAACACGATATTGATATATTCTTCTTCTCATAGATACATAGGCGTATAACCAATGCTCTCCACTATCACCGGTAAAATATAGGCAATTTCTATATTTAATTATAAATCTTAAAAATACTCCAGCGCCAGGTACTCAAAGATGGGACTGGAGCTAGTGGATTTTTTAAGAATTTTTCATTAAGAATATTTTTCAGTATCGCATTGTGAATGCAAAATTTATCAAATATAATAAATAGGCAATATGTTACGTTAGTGTCTGGATTCTAAAAATGAATTACTTATTTTTATCCCATGAAAAAGGTTACTTATCAATGCCAACATAAATGTGTAATTTTGTTTCTATGAATTAAAGTATATTAGTAATATTTTATACTCACTTTACCATAATAACCGCTGTATTTTCCAGTTGTGATTTTCACATAAGAATTTTTAGTAATAATCAGTTCTTCCCCTTTTTCATTAACTGGCGTTTTCTTCTTTTCAGATACTACCTTATCAGCACCTAAGCCCAAACCTTTTGGACGTAGTTGGGGTTGTTTATATTTTGATCTGAAGAAAGAACAATTCCAAATTTTAAAAAATACAAACTTTGAACGCTTTATCTTAACATGGTGTTGTTGAGTCTTGATCTACTGAGATAGAAATCTTTTGCTTTAGGTCAGGATTTCTTCAAATTCTTTCCCTTACTGCATTGATCGCCCTTTTCGTACGAACACTATGTGAATGGCCAGATCTTTTCCTAAACAGAGAAGTTTCATTTTACGTATCAAATATGACAGATTCGAAATTCAAAGTAATATTGTATATATATTTAATACTAAAAGTATTTATGGCCACACTAAGTATAAGTATTTTTTATGGCATTATATTAATGTATTAAACTAACACACTGTAATAGTAATAAATGTTGTTTAATAAAAAAATAATCATTTTTCTATGTAACAATAAGTAAGGCAAGATTATGTATTTGTATTCAAGAAATATGTTACACTTCAACAGTAGAACAAATTTGTCGGTAACTATTGGGACTCAAGTATGCTCCCAGACTTAATACTAAATATGCAATAAAATTAATTACTAACGTTTCTTTACTTGGGGACCATCCCATGCCACGTAGCATTGCCATGCCAAATTGTTGTACTGGAACTACTTCATAATCTTCAAGTGTGGACTGCAAAATATAATAATACACAATTAAACCACTTAAGAAAAGCATTTCTTGTTATACGAAAAGAGTATTTTGGGTACCTATTCTAAGATGTTTTTTATGATACAAGATAAAACTTAGTGGTCAAAAGGGTGATTAACTTAAATTACATATTAAATCTTATAGAAATAAATTTTTACTATATCAAAAAAATGTATGTACATTGACAAGCAACTTTCTACTATTTCGATCATATTGAGATTGTTTTGATCTGATCTCATAGAACTTATCAAAGAATGCAACAAACAAAAGAACAGCTCTCATGTATTACAGAACCTATCAATTTACTTTAATAAGGCTTAAACTTAAAATAATATGGGTGTTATATAAATGGTTATCAAAATATTCTTATATTTGTAAGCAAAACAATGTTATTGGTTAGCTAGTCGAAATAAATAAATAGCTAGTAATAGCTAGTCGGGCAGCAATTTATGGAAAGCAAATTTTTCTTAATCAGTCTGCAATTTATATCAATCTGAGCAGCTGTAACTTTTTGTGCAGCTGAAAATATATAAATGTAGGAAAGATAATAAAATTTGTGCCACTAATATAAACCTAGTGGAAATTTCATAATTATCAAGCACAAAATGGGTGTATCTTTTACAAAGACAATTAATTAATTTATTGTCTCTTAGTGGGAGTAGCAATAGTAGTTATATTGGGATAGTGTGATATAATAATAAAAAATTTGCTTAATTTTATAGTTATAGTTGAGACCAAATATTTGCAACAAAATAATGTCAATAAATGGTTTATTCTTATTGTAAAATTAATGCTCGTTTTGCCTTTTGGCCAGTCACGTTTTCTCTCTTTGCTTCTAATCGGAGGCACCACATATTTTAAGCGAATTGCAAAACCACTAACGTGTTTATGTATGTATACGTATAAATAAAAAAGGCTGGACAATTACATTCTTTCCTCTCTCCATTCATCTTTTTCAATTGGTAGTACAACAAGTCAATTATTGAAATTTTGTTTCTTGAAATTGTCAAATTTTTTCCAATGTGCATTGTCAAGATCACTTTTAGTTGCTTGACCTGTTGATTTGATAGTAATTTATTTATTGGACCACTGGTGTACCATTTCTTTGGTAACCACCAAAAACCTAGACAAAGGGAAGTGTTCTCGAAGAGTATGGCTATCCTTTATTACTTTGACAAAAGACTCCAAAGCATTGTTGGTTAATGGAGAATTGGATGCCGCTCCCAAAAACTAAATGCGATTTTGCACTAGCCACTGTGTTTTGAAATAAGTGACAAATTCGGTCTCAGCTTCATATTTTTGCAGAAAAGCATCAGAAGCTGTATCAAATGTATTTTCGTGTGTAACAGAAAGTAATAAATCAACATTGTTCAAGATATTATGATGCAGTACCTTGTTTTTGATCATATCTACCCTTCATTAAATAATTCCTTTTGCATGTGCCCAATACACCCGTACTTTCACATGGTCTCCAAATGCGTCTTGAATGCTTTTAGCATCATCACAAACCAATACTTTGGATTCAAATAACTTTCAAAAGTATCGTATATAATGTCTTTAAGTCCTTGGAATATAAATTTGAAATCTTTTTGTTCATTGCCTAATACCGTTAAACACAGAGGATGGAACTTGCGATTTCGGTCTGTGGTGCCACATACTAAAACAAGAAAACCCTGCCAGATGATTTTGTATGTGGTATCTGCGTGAATTATGTTGGTATTTTTTGAAATTTCAATAAAGTACTTTGTGGACATAATAAAACGGCGAGTGGGATTTTTCATCACCATCACCAACTTGGTAACTAATCACAAAAAAATTCATAAGGATCCAAAGGAAGACTTGAGTGTAAATGAATCCAAGCTTCAAGCTCTCCTAAACTTATGTTCGACTGGACGTATTCAGCATGAGGTAGATCACTTAGGTAATTTCTTAACTGGGGCATCTAAGGAACTTGAATATGTTCCATTTTTTTAAGACTTTCTATTATTGCTTTTGGTTTCATCTAAACCAAATAATCAATTAATTTCTGTTTTCAAAGTGTCACTCAAACAGTACATTGAGGCAAACTCTTTTTTTCTCATCATGAACATGATCAGCATTAGTTTAAAACAAAAAAACAAAGAATCTAAACTGCTTTCAAATAATAAATAAATTCTTGCATAGCATTGTGGACCACATTTTTATATTTTATTGCATCAATAATATTTCCATTTTCTGTTGTGTGGTAATAAACACACCAAGTACCTTCAGCTTTTATATATGTTTCGGCCTGTTCACAGTTATCAAACTTATGAACTAAATCCAGTCCAAATACAGCTTTTTTTTTTTTCTCCACCATTTCTTCACTACTGATCGCATTACATACGCATCAGATTTGTAGTCTGTAACTAATACCCTTTCTTCATTGTTTTTTTTGTTACTATTGTTTTCCATTTCACTCTAAAAACAATGGCAAACCATAAATCTTACCAACACTTTGTGATGCCACTTCACCACTACTAATAGCGATATACTGCATGACAATACTCTCACAATTACCTACTTGTTGTATTTCAACAAGAATGCAACCCAAATATCATATTGCTAGTCAAGATTTAAATATGAAAAATAATCAATTAAACTGATTAAAGAAATGTTTTCCTTGCAGCCCAATTGTAAATATAAGCTGCCTGTTTATATTTGAAATATTGACCATGATTGTGAATAATACTGAGAAAATATTTTTAAACTTGCCAAATGGTTTAAAAGTTGCTTAATTTTTGTTAATTTTGTAATAGCATACAGTAAGATATAACTGATGAGGCTCATTGGTGTATCTGATCAAAAGTCTAATTTTGAAGAACAGCAAATGCAGGCCAACCAGTATTATTCAAGCATCATTCCATTTGCTGATCCACCAATTTCCATACACCTGTCTTCCTCTGAGTATTAATGAGATGGACATTTAATGCATTGTATTTTACACCTTATTACCTGAAATGCTATCAATTTTAATTGAACATTCTGTCATTGTTGGAATTGGTAGATCTGCTCTGCACAAATGAAAATTCACCATATGCAATATTAGTCGAAACCAATAAATTATTTTTAATTTCCTATTATTTGAAATTGTTTACTTTTCAAATTCAGAGGCCTAATTATCCAATTTTAAAATCAATTCCAATCCCTTTGAATCTGATATTTGAAAAATGTTCATGAAATTCTCCCTACAACTATTGCTTGTGATTGCATTTGCTATTGTGACTTGTTGAAAGATATCACTAATTTAAGTCTAATTGGAATGTCAATGGCAAGCACAAGACATAGGTATTACTTTAAGTTTACCAAGTTTTTATTCTCTCTTGATCATTAAAATAATCATTTGTTCCAAAAGAGATTGTGACTTTTACAAGATTCCATAAATCGCTATTTTAAAATTAAGACAATTAGGCCACAGGAACATAATGTAATCTGTTTATAAACTTAAACTATTATAAGTTCTAAACGAAATAAAACTATAACATTCCTAAATTTACCTCTTTGGTTCCTTGAAAAATAGGTTTTGCGGGTATTGGCACAGTCAACTCTTCAGTTTCCAATTTAACCTCCTTCTTTGCCTCTTGTAGAAGTTCTCTGACAACCATTTGATCTAATGTTTCATTTTCAGTAATATTCTCCGACTTTGGACTTTTCTTTATTTCAGGTTCAGGTTCATCTAGTACACTTTCAACTTCTTCAGCTATTTGTTTCAGTCTTTCAGCTGTTACTAAAGTGTTTGGTTTCATTGGTATTATCAAAGGTGCTTCTTCTTTAATTTGCTCACCACTGTAAAATTATCGGTATTATATCACTAGCTTTTGCCACCGGCTTCGCCCGCGTGGTCCCTAGGGAAATGTTTAGTGGGATAAAAAGTATCTTATTATCTAAGTCAGCTAATACCATATCTGTATACCAAAATTCATCTTAATCCATTCAGTAGTTTCAACGTAATTGACTGATTAACAACCAAACAAAGAAACTTTCACATTTATAATATTAATAGAATTACTTATACAGTCACACAACAGGCTGCTACAAGAAACCTAATTTTTGACAATTATTTTAAAGATACTATACACTTTTAAAAGAAGCTATATTATTTTAAAGATGCCCCTGTGAAATAACTCCTGTTCATTTTATGGAAATTCTCCAATATTCTGGTATTTTTTAAATTTATCGAATATGTAGTATAAGTATTGATTGATACAATTAACCATTTAGTACCTACTAAAATGGGTTAATAATTTGCAAATTGAACATTAACATACCCGACTACTTTGATAGCTTTTTCTTCCATACACTCAATAAATTCTTTTTTCTCTTCTACTACTGGCTTCTCAACTTTTTTCGTCTTGAGAAAGCCGAATGATATTTTCTTCCCGTCCATTGTTGTTGGGATGTGTACGTAATTATATTACCCAGTAAATGGAAATCTTGATGATGGTATTTAACTTTCACGTCAATAAATCATAATAAAGCATCATTTAATGACATTATGAGTTAAGAAAAAAAAAAAATTAATAGGAAACCACAAAACACCATGAAACATTAATGGAAACAATACCATACGCACAAATGACATTAGACTTGACAAAGCTGACACAACAAAACGATGTCACCGCTAACCAGTGTTGCCGCTGTTCATATATCGACTTACCGTATACGAGAGAGAAATTTGCTTGATTTCAACTGAAATTGCCGTACATTTTTCATTTAACCGACTTCGAAATAGGAGGTTACTCATTTGAACTGTATGTATAAAACGTTCTACACCACTAACCAATGTTGCGCTTGTTCATATACTGATTTAACGTATACGAGAGAGAAAATGGCCGTACATTTTTTATTTAACCGATTTCAAAATAGGAGGTTAATAATTGGACTTGCGTGTATCGTTATAATGACTTAATAGTCATATAGTCATAGTTTATATGAGCTAAACATATGTACAAAATTAAAGTTTACAAATTTTATTTTATTTCGCATATGTTTGATTCGCATATTACAAAATTATGGTACCAGTTAATTTAATAACTTGCTCCAAAATTTAAAAGGTGGTTTGTCTGTTAATAAATTTGAACGATGGGGAACTCTACTAGATAGATGTCATCGCCAATAGCTTGCTTTTCTTCATTAGAATTATCTCTTATTGATGAAAGAAACACTTATCATCGAGGGCAGAATAGTTAGCTCCGTGATAAAATCTAAATGCATATGACAGATAATATGATTACCCACTACAAGTTCTTTAATGTGGTTTACTTTTATTAAGGTTTATTCAGGATAATAAACAATCATACAATACAGCTTAACAAAGTATAACTTTAAAATATAGCACATTACTTATTGTACAACCAGCACCATTATCTCCAGCGTATGTGATTACTAATGACCGGATAATATGCATTTGCATATTTGCATATGCATTTGCATATTTGCATATGCATTTGCATATTTAAGCCATTTAACAAGGCTAATAGCATATTTTTACTAAGATCTAGTGATGATGCATATTATTGCTATAATTTACAGTAGGTATTTTTCGAGCGTAGCGCACTCGGCAGCCGCGCGTTCGCCTACCGCGCTACTCCCACCTATTATGTATGTTATTACTTTGATAGTTGACACGCTCGTGCTCGGATAATTGACCTGCAGTACAATGCCACCCGAAAAAAAAAGTGTGTCTTCGTGTATAAGTGAATTTCCTGGAACATTTACTTACGACGGAAATGTTTTATATTGTCGAGTTTGCGAGAAAAATATTTCGTGCACTAAAAAGTTTCAAATAGACCAACATGTCAAGACAAGTGTTCACTTTCGCAGGATTGCAGAAAAAAGGTCCACGACAACAGCTTATAACCGCTTCTGCTTCTAGCTCGAAATGTAAACAAAACAACCAGTTTAGCATGTATTTATGTGAAGCATTGCTTGCAAGTAATATTCCTCTCCATAAACTAAAAAATCCTATCCTCAATCACTTTCTGCGAAAATATTGCTTAAATCAAAATATACCAGACGAGTCAACATTGCGTTAAAATTATATACCAACAATTTATAAAAATGTTATGGAAGAAATACGTAATGAACTCAAGGAGAACCTTATTTGGATTTCAGCTGACGAAACTACCGACAGTTGTGGTCGTTATATAGCTAATTTAATTGTTGGTACATTGAAACTAGAACCTTCTCCTTCCTATTTGGTGGCCTGCAAAGAATTAGAAAAAACAAATCATTCTACGATGGCCAGATTTGTGAACGTGGGTATAAAAAAAATATTTCCCGAATCATCTGCAGAAGAAAGAGTATTTATATTTCTTTCAGATGCTGCTCCCTATATGATTAAAGCAGCCAAGGCCCTCCAAGTATTTTATCCCAATTTGATTCATGTAACGTGTTTTGCCCATGGAGTACATCGACTTGCTGAAGAAGTACGATCCACATTTGGGAATGTAAATAAACTGATTTCATCAACAAAAAAAGTGTTTCTTAAGGCACCTGCTCGTACTAAAGCCTACAAAGAAAAAATACCAAACGTTCCTCTCCCTCCCGAACCAGTTGTAACCCGATGGGGGACATGGATAGAAGCTGTACTGTTTTACAATGAACATTTTGAGGCCATCAAAGGTGTAGTAAATGACTTTGACAGTGCCGAGTCAAGAGCAATTTGTGAGTCACAGACAGCTTTTAACGATTCTATCATAAAAAAATACATACCTATAATTTGCACCAATTTTTCTCACATACCCGAAAGTATTAAAAAGCTTGAAACTGACGGTTTGGCATTGAATGAATCTATTCAAACAATGAATAAAATCCGCTATCTTAACTCCACGTTGCCAAGTACGTTGCCGCATAAACTCAAAGAAAAGTTTGAAAACATTTTGAACAATAATCCAGGCTTTGAACATCTGTGTCAAATTGATAGCTTTATTAATGGACCGACGGAAGTTTTGCCAGAAAATATAAGCGCTAACATAGCACCCAAGTTCAAATTCTGCCCAGTTACCTCAGTAGATGTGGAGCGATCATTTTCGACCTACAAAAATATTTTGAATGATCGAAGACATAATCTTACCACTGAACATTTAGAACAATACTTGATTGTTAATGTTTACAAAAATATTAAATAATGTAACATGTTACTGTATCGATTAACATCTATCAATGGATAGTTTACTATAAATGTATGCTGATTTTTTAATAAAAAATCTAAAACTTAATAGTTTTTTATTTTATTAAAAAACAATAAATTAAAACGATACATACATAATAAAGTAAAACATAAAACAAGTATTTACTAAGAAAAAACTTAAATCTAAAGAAATAATATTTACAAAACAAAAAAAATAGTCATTTAATGTTGTTTATTCTGTCAGTTTTCGTGCATATTTTAGGCATTTTTCATGCATATTTGCATGCATATTTCAAGCTTTTTATGTTGCATATTATCCGGTCTTTAGTGATTACATTGGTAATAATAAAAAATCTCTAATATTAAACGCTTCAACAAGCGTACATACAATTTTGTAATATATCATACGTAATAAAGATTCAAACAAACTAATGCTGCAAAGAGGTTTCAATTATTTGTTTTTTAAACACTGAAAATTATCATTATAATATTTCATTAAACGTTAGTGGTGAAGTGGTTTTACATTGTTTAGGTATGAACATGATGAAGCATGATGGGTTCCTTCTGGCTCATTGAGTGGTTTTTGGTTACCAACGATATAAGAAGTTGAACCCCTTTATTTTGTAATAACGTAGGGTCCATCTCTTCATTGCGATATATGTATATTGTGAACTTATTCGGCGACCCTTGTCTTTATGCTCTTTCATTTTTATTTCTTTCTCTTATTAAATACATTGAGCATGCTTCAGTGTATTAGAGATTTTTAAAAGCCTAGGAGTAATCTCTGGAATGTAATTTTTCTTCATCACGATTGCTCTTAAATAATTTTCATTGCCATTTGGGGTTCTTAGTTCTCAATCAAATGTCAGAAAAACAGGTGTGTATTCAGTAGATGAACAGGTTACAGTTTTCATAGCATATCGAATAGTTGCAAGTTGTTATTGACGTAGAGGGTGACGAGGAATTGGTGTGGCACGGATGTGAAAATAAATTCAATTTATAATTCACAAAAACTATTTATTATCCACAATAGCCAAGGTCCTCGCCAAAGCACGTGTCAATCAATTATAATACCTTATGTCAATATAAAAAACAAAATTTAAATAAATATCAAATTATATGTATATATAAAAAAAACTATAAAAACATAGACAACGTATAAAATAGGTCGGCCCAGCTGACGATCCTGAAAACAAGTTGTTCTAGTTATGGACGATTGTCGTTATCTAATAAAATAGCTAACTGTGTCTTAAAATCTCTATTTTGACGTTCCACAGGATTGGCTTCGGGATGAAAAACCGGGGTTAATGAAGCTTTATTTGCGGAAAAAGTTATCTGTTGCATGATTGCACTAATGAACTGAGTACCATAATCGCTTGTGAGTCTTTTTGGGATTCTATATCTCACATTTCATCAATTAATATCTTAGCATACATTTCGGCTGTTCCACTTTCTAGCGCAAAAAAAATCGATCCATCTAGTTGCGACATCTTCTACGAGGAGAATTCAGGTATGTCCATTGACAGAAATAGGTAATGGCCCAAATAAATTCACCACTACCACTTCGAATCTTTTATTAATGGTTGAAGTTTGTAACAGACCTGCGGGCTTGAAGTTCGATGGTTTGTATCGTTGACAGGTTATGCAATGTTTAATGTAACTTTCTATATATTTCCTCATACCTTACCAATAGTACCTTTTAGATATTCTATCGTGGGTTTTCTCTGCTCCATAATATGATATACTTTGAGTATATTTACCCATTTATGATTTGGTACAACTAATTGACCATAATCTGACTTAACATTAGGGTTCTGATGATATACTAATCCGTTGTTTATGAAGTAGCCCTCATTATACCAGTAAGTGGCATCCTCGATACAGTCATTATTCTCAAGCTTTTTTTTTTTTAAGAATTTGACCCAATCAACCCCTATAATATCCTTATTAATTTCAGTAATATCTCAAATTAGTATATTAATTTCAATAAATTCTCTCTATAAAACCATATTTTGAAATAAAGCATCTAGGCATTTGCTTATATACACGTGAGAGAGTTTGTGCGCTAAAAGGTGAATGTAGACGATCTAAAGATGTTAAAAGCATAGGCGGATGTTCACATATACACATTTCTGTATTAGATATAAAAAAGTCCAATGTTCGCTCTTTCTCGTTCTTTAAACCATTATAATGCCTATCATGAATCATTGACAAAAAATTACAAAAACATTTATACAAGGCAGTGTTGCAGTTCTCTAGCATTGAGAAATAAGATATATTAGTATACTGCCATTCCAAATAAGGAGGATTAAAATCCCTGACTATATAGTATTACTGTACCTTGTTATCAGTAACTTTACTTTGCAAATTAGTAGTAGTTTATTTTGAAATCTATTTTCTTTTAATCTCCTTCTACTAAATATCTTATTTTAT